GACTGGGATGGCTGCTGAGGGACAGGAGATGCAGAGGTTGTGTTGTGCCCTTGACGACTGGTGTTAGAGCACTTGGATTGCAGTCTTTGCTCATCGCTGCAGCTGCCACAGCAGTGTAGTGTGTGTGTGACCAGAGGCAAGGTTGTTGAGGAATACCCGGCACCAAAAACAGAGCAGAAGGTTGAGGCAGGAAATATCTTGTTTTCCCGTGGAGAGAAAGAATCCAACAGAACAAGACACAGGCTGGTTTGAAAGGGGCTCGGGATGATAAGGTGGTTCTATTGTAGGTTCTGCTCTCTGTTAAAGTAGTAAAAGCCCTGTAGAGCCATTTTAGAGACCTACTATTATAAATTAAATTAAACCTCTTAATTATGTAGTGGTATACCAGGAGAATTATTTGCATGTGTATGTGGGGGAGGTTTTTCCACTTTCTGTAGGGAGGTGAAAATGAGCATTGTGTAACAGCTTAGGCATTTTTCGGGGTATTATGCTCTCTACAACATAAGTATATTAAAAAGGCTTTGGTTTTGTTCATGTTAGTACATTCTTTTAGAGCACAAGGTTACTCACTCAGCAAGTAAAGTCTTCAGTTGCTTAAAACCCAAACGACATACGTGCATTTATCCATGGCGTTTTTGTGTGTTAAGTGAGTCTGATGCTGTATGACACAGCACAGGTACAAATACTGGACTATTTGGTGTGCAGTATCCATAATATCCTGGGTAACCCTGTGTGTTTTGGAATCTTGTTATTGCTTCTGTAGAAACACTAGAAGTGAAGTCCTGAGAGACATAATGCTATTGAATTTCTCAAGGTTTTAATCTTTGAACAAGGCCCACCTGCACCTCGTTTTCTGTCTGCACTCATATACAGAGGAAAGGCAATAATTCCTCTCTTTAATGTTTTCCAGGTTATTCAGAATTAATTCTCATGTCAGCAGAAAGCTCAACCATCACAGTTCGTCTTGTTCGCTCTTTTGAACACCGGAACTTCAGGCCTGTGGTGTATCACGGGGTTAACTTGGATCAGACAGTAAAGCAGTTCATTACCTTTGTGCAGAAGGGTAAGGGGCTGTTGGCTCGTTCATTCGCTTCACTCCCATGTTTTGCTGTCTCTGCACAAGAAAGTGGAGGGGAGCAAATAAACGGGAATTCTCTGGCTTTGGTAGAGATGCCAGATTTGTGTTTCCATCCCCTGTGTGCTCTCCTCCCTTGGATGAGAGGTCTGGAGTTAATAAGAGCTTCCGTGGTCAGTGTGCCATGCCTAAATTTGGATAGACTGCTCCCCCTGCCCAAATCCCCACGTTTAATCAAAAAGAGACCAGGACGTTGCTGCATTTGGCTCAGTGCCTCAGGCTCCTTGAGTGGTGCTGTCGGGCAGCTATTCCTAAATTAACAGGAGTAAATTAATAGAATTTAGAGAGCCTTTGATCTGTAAGAACTACACCAATATGTGGAATGTGGGAATGCAAGTCTGTTTGCTATTTGTGAGAAGAGAGGATCTTGAAAAATTGTTTTTGACACTGTGAGGTCTCGCTGTGCCTGTTTGCTTCTGAGGTTCTGTCTCCATCTTGAGCTTTGTGGTGCAGATTTACTCATCTATGGGCTTTATGTTTTAGAAACCTGGTTGAAAGTGACACGGTATCTAAAAGTTAATTAAAGTAGACCAGCCCACGCAGCAAGTCAGCAGTTAGGGTGTTACCCTCATCTTGCAGGTGTATTTCTACACACCTCAATGGAGACATTCAAAGGGTGCAGAATAATATAATTTGATTTTTTTCATGAAGTCAGCTTAAACAAGTCTCAAACTGTTAAGAGCTGATAACATTTGAGCAACTCCTAGGACATTGCCCTGGGCTTCACAGCTGTATTGTGTTTTCAGCAACTTCCATGCTTCCAGCCAGTGATAGGCATGGCAAGATCTTAGGATGCGTTTAGAAAACTACAAGCACTCTCAGAACATATGGTACAGCTGCTGTTATGCAGAATAAAATAAAAGCAATGCTAAAAAACTTGCTTTTGATGTGTGCAGTATTGCAGCTCACTGTTGTTTGAGACAAAGCTAGTGTCTTGATCAAGAGTTTTTGGAACCTCCTTCCACAGATGGATGGGTAATGCTGTTCCTGGTCCAAAAGGAGCTGTGTTCCTTCCTTGACTGTAATCTGTTTTGGAGGGGGAGTTTGAGATGCATTGTTAAACTACTGATGAAATTGTGGGTTCTGCTGCCTTGCTGCTGAGCACCCCACAAGTGGCTGGGCCGTCCGAGGCCCTGGTTAAATCCCTGGGTGCCACTGGGAACACTGGCACCAAGGAAGGTGTTAGTGTCCTTGCAGCTGCTTATGGGCTGTGTCCTGCACGTGGCTAAAGAGTTAATTTTCTAGAGTTTGGCTTCCTTTTTGTGGCTGTGTTTACTGAACAATTCCGTTATGAATGACAGTTGTCAGCTGTTTGTATAAGGTGGAGAGAAATGCTGTGCAAACCATTAACAGGACGTTCCTGTCAGATTTCTGATTTCACCCCTGTGATCATCTCCTAATTGCATTGACTCACTGTCCTCATGGGTCGTTTTGTTCAGAGGGACTTCATGCTCAAGTGAAGTTAATCAGATAGGGAGTAACTGTGGAATCTGAGCCAAATGTTGTGTTTCAGTATTTGATTTGTTTTGATTAAAAGGATGTCTGGGATGCATGCATAAAATAATGGAAAATAAAATATTGGAAATAAAAAAAAAGGACAACTTTGTTTTAACTCTGCTTTTATTTTAATAGATGTGCCTTCAAGAACAGGACTTCCTCCTCCTTTCAAAAATTACAAATATGGTATGTGGGTTTTTTTCTTGTTTTAATTCCTATAAAATGCAGACATAATATTTCATACCAGTTTCTATACAATTTAGAAGACAGCTGCTGTAGAATGCTCGTGCTGGTGGCAGTGCCCGCCTACATCTGCAACTCTGTCCAGCTCGTGCAGCTGGAGTTACACCACTGGCATCACATCTACAGAACTTGACCATTATTTTGAAATTCTGTATTAATCTTTGAATTAGGCTGCATGTTATACATTATTTGCTAATTGCTACGGATGGTTTTTGTTATTAATTTTTAATTGCTTTTATAAGTGCCTTTTAACTCTGTTTTTACTCTAGCAAGCAGCTTGGGATTTCAGGTGCTTTGGAATTGTAGTTCTCTATGTGCTTGTGTATTTCGGTATCTATTTACTAATTGTAAAGTCAGAAAGGGTGGTGAAGTGGGAGCTGAAGGCAGTAAATGGAAAATGCTGAAAACTTTTATACTTAAATAATTTACATGATATAAGAGAAACAGGGGTACTTTGCTCAAAGTAGATATGAATGGTCTTAATTACAAGCTGATGGAATGAAATAGCCTGTGTGAAATGTAGGCTGACTTTATCCTCTCATGTAAAGCTATGTGTTTATTTCCTTTTTGTGAAGTGGCATCCACATGTGCAATTCATCTGTTTGGGACAGAAAATACTTTCAAAATAGACTGCTTCCTTGGAGCTTGTTAACTTGGGTGTCAGCAACATATCTTTTCCTAAACTTGGCAATTCTGAAAGTTCCCTTGGAGTTTTGTTGCAAGTGATCCTCTGTCTCCCATGTTCTTGGAGTCGGCAAACTCCTTCCTCTACAGTGATTCAAAGAATTGAATGAGGAACCTATTTTATACATGTGAATAATGGTAATAGACTCTATATGCCTATTATAAAAAAAACAAAAACAAACCAAACCACAAACAACAAAAAAGCCAAGCATTTCATTCTGTGTTCTTGCTGATGGTGAAACAGTGCAAAATGAAAGCAGAAAAAGTTAGCAATGAAGATTTACAGTGGCAAGGACTTGAATGTTACTATTTTTACTATATTACTTAATGTCTTAAAATCTGGGTTACTCTAACTTTGAATTTGAAGGTGCCCTTCCTCCTCCTAATACCTGTCCCATGGAGGACTGCTGCTATCAGTTGTGTTCCTGGTGCTGCCTGTCCCTGCTGCTAGTTCTTTCATCGCTTAGAGCATCAGGGTAGTTTTTCCCAAGGCATGTGTTGTGGCAGAGCACCTGATTGTGCTGTGTAGGACTGAGCATAATGTCCGTGAAAACCACTGCAGAACATTAAAACCTGTTACACCAGTTAAGTGGGGGCCTACTTTTAGTGGGATGGTGCTAGCTGTGTGGAAATTTTCACACAGAAAAATCAAAGCCAAGTTCCTCACCTTCCCCTCAGGCTGTGAATCATCCTGGTTCATGTTTTTGGCATCTCTCATGCGCTCTTCTGTCTTTCTTGTATTTTGGTGATGAAAGGGCAGCGAGACTTCTGCATGAATAGTGCTAGTAAGAGTCAGATTTTTCCTTCTGCTTTGTTTGGCAGTGCCAGAAATCTCAGTTGGACCTGGCTGTCTCTCACCTTGTGCCTGTTTTGCCTTCCTTCTCTCCAGAATCCAGCACCACTTTTTTCTCTCAACATCATATATAATGCCATCACATTTTTCCTCTTGGCTTGGTGCTTTAACTCACATCTCAAACCTTATGACTTTCATTTTCTCTTCTCCTTGGTCTAGGACTCTACTCAGTCAATCTTCTCATCTTCCTACCCTGTCATTGCCATCTTTTCACTGATGATGGCAGCCTGGTTGCCAACTTGTCTCATAAGCTGCTTCTCTTATTTATTTATCTATTTATTTATTTATTTATTTATTTATTTATTTATTCCCCCCCTCCATGAATGTGGAGCAATATGGTAGATAGTTAATAGATTCAGACTTAGAAAGTGGTTTCTTATCTGTTGTCATGGAAAAGGGAAGATAAAAATCTGGAAATATGATTGAGTGGGACTAAATGGTGATGAAAAGGCAATTGAGAGGACGTAAGGCTTTTTAGCTGGGATGCCAAGAGACGGTCGTTTCATCTCTGTGACAGGGTTAGGGAAAGCGTTTAATAGCTCAGATAAAGATGCAGTAAACTGCTGCATGCCAGTGGTTTTAGTTGTGAAGAAGTAAAATTGAAACAATAGTTCAGAGAATGACTGGGCAAAGACTAGAGTAAGGGGGATGTGACAAAGTAGATGGAGAAGCTTAAAGCTAACAGGCAGAGGCTGGATTGTATTTGCTGTGGTAGAAAGGTTTTGTGATTGCAATATATTTTTGCTGTGATTACTTGATCTTTTTGCAATACTTCTATGCAGGATGGATCCAGGAACTGCAATTTAATGTATGTCTTGCTTCTAATACTGCAATTAATACACTGTGCTAAGACTGCCTTTTCAGTGACCTCTGCAGTGGGAGTACAGAGTAGTTCTGAGCTTCTGTAATGTTTTAAATAAAATGTTCAAAATGGGCCAGCATGGTATGGAAGCAAACTTCTGAATGGGAATGTGGTCTGTGTTATTCTGAATCTGAATACTTGCTCTCAGTAGTCTGAAAGTTGTTTTAGCCTGTTTTGCTTTCTTGCATCCTTCTCTGACCAGACTGTTTCAACATGTAGTGTTCAGTTAACGCACAAAACCAAACCAGAACAGAAAGTGAGCAGGCAAACAGAGCTGGTTTATATTCTTTGCTGTGAATGGATTGATGTGTTATTCTGAATTTGTTGAAACACAGAGGCTTTGGATTTTGTTGGGGGGGTTTTTTGTTTGTTTGGTTTTTTTTGTTTGTTTCTTTGTTTGTTTCTTCTTTAGTGCTGCATGGGCATCTTCTGGCTTCCATTCCCTCTGGATCTTTGCACTCATCTGGTTGCTTTAGTGACCACGTTACTTTCCCCAGTTTTTCCCTTCTGTTAACAAAGCCCTGCCCACATTGCTGGAGCAAAGCGGTATTTCTTTTTTGTATAGCATAATTTCTTACAGTGCTACACTGTGCAAACATTTCAGAGATATATATTACTGAAGAGGGTGTAGCACTAAAAAGAGGATAAGCTGTATGTGTTTGTGGAAAATGGACTTGCTTAATAAAATTTCTACATGGGTGCTTTCTTCGTGAGAAAGAAAATATCAAGGAATGATTTGAAGTGGTCAGATTACTGTGTCTTAATCACTTGCTGCCTATCAACTCAGCTGTAGTAGTTGGCAGTGTATAAATGCTGTTTGTCCTGCCCCAATTGCATGTGAAAAACCTGCTAGGTTAAAACACCCTAACTGGCATTTAAATTGATGTGTTTTGACTGGCAATTGGGATGGTCATTAGTTAGTTACTGTAATTCAGCCAGCAGATGGAAGCCCAATAGGATGTGGTACCTTAATGTTGGATTGTGGCTACAGGACTGGGAAATTAAGATGTTTTCTCCTTTTTTAGACTGAATACACAAAATTGTGGTTAATAAAAGATTTTGAGCCTTACCCCTTTGTTTGTCTCTCATTCCCCAAGCACAGCTTTCAGTGTTACCTGCCTATGAAGCCTTATTTTAGGAAAACATTGTATTTTCTTTCAGATACAATGAAGATTATTCACCAAGCACACAAATCTAAGGTACGGTTATTAGCTGTATTTTTTCCCCCTTTACACACTTTAGTGCAGGCAGATCTCTGCACTGTGAAACAAGACTGGGGCAGAGACAGTACCTTCTGATTCTTTTCTTTGTGTTCTGGTTCTCTGATTTGCAGACTGGTGAACTTGTAGTGAGTTTGGAAGATGATGACAAACTGATTTTGAAAGAAGACAGTACGCTGAAAGCAGCTGGAGTAGGTATGAGCACATTTGTATTGAGTGAAGGTGCTGTTCATTGTGGTTGTCATTAAACTGATAACTGGCTGATTATGTTTGGATAGCCTGCTGAAAAGTAAATGCTATTCCTGATGCTCTTTACACTACTTGATAATTATTCAGGGAAGAGGGGGGGATAATGTACATTCAAATCATTGGACTGAGGGCAGCACAGGTATCTGCACTCCAAATGTTCAGAATGCAAATTGTGATTTTTAGAGGGTATGCTTGTAATTCTGCTGAGAGTAATTTTAAATGATTGACAGATAGGTTATTAGTACCGTGTCTGCTTAGTCTTATCAGTAACATTTAAACTGATGTTTTGGTTAGAAATGGAAGTGGTGGAACCAGCATGGAATAATGAAATACGATTAGATTTGTTTAATGTGCAGCATTCGGTGCCTGATAGCCAGATTGCTCAGGAAAGCTCAAGCAGTTTCATTTAGAGAATGTGCTGAACATAGCAAAGAGTGGAAACTTGACCTGATTTCTCACATTTTGACAGGGGACTACATATAGGGCATGTCTTTTGGTAATAATGTAAAGAAATGTCTGTCATGATAAAATTGATGGTCCCTGGATGTCCTTTGGGCTTCTCATAAATGTGGCTGAATGACTTTGTGGCAGCAGGGCACTTAAGGGATGTAGTTGCATTCCACCTTGATATGGACAGTGGCTCATTTGAATCTGATTTGCCTAGCTGGAACGCATAAGTGCCTGCGCTCTAAGTGCTGGGGTGTTGCAGAGAAAGCTCCCTCCTGTTCCTCATGCCCTCTGATTGTTCCCCAGCTAGTGACTGGGATTTCTTTCTCACAGGTTTCTTGGCTCTTTTGTTTCCTGCCATTTACTTTTTGGTTTTAAATGACTTGGGGTGTCTCTTTAATGTTTTTCTCTGGGGTGCACAGCAACTGGCCTCAGTATACCTTTCCTAAAGGTCTTTGGGTGTTCCTGTAAGATGAATGATGGTTATTCTCTGGCTGTTTGTACTAAACCAGGTCTTTTTATCTGGAGGGTGAAAAAAAGGTTTCTCAGGAGGGAGGATTACTGGCACTCAGGTCTTACAGATTTATAATGTAGTTAGCAGAAGATTCATTTAAGCATGATTTTTATCTACCTAAGGCATAAGAGACAATGCAGTTCAGGAGAGAGACTGATGATAGTGCCAAATGCTGAATTAGAAACGACATTGTCCAGAGCTGCCTTCTTTCAAAAAGGTGTCAATAAATATTTGTATATATTCTCCATCTTTGAAACTAGGTTTGTAGCTACAGCCGTGACACAGTTGGTTGTGATCTCAAAAAAGGTGTGAAAACATCAGAGTAAATGTTATAGTGAAAAGAAATCGGAATAGAGCAGCCTGATCTGTGTCTCTGTACAAAGAGAGTGGTGGCTTATTTGGGGCAGAAACCAATTTAAAGCCACTTTTCATTTTTTTCAGAGTAACTAACAGCAGTTGGTCGTTAGTGTGTAGTGGGTATTTGTGATAGAAAAGAGGAAGTGTTGCTTTGTAAAATGCAGCATGCCATTATGCCATTTTGAATTTTGATATGTTACAGTGTATCTTGAGATGAGAATTAGCTAAGTTAGGAGTGGGGTCTCTGTAGTAAAATCTTGAAAATTTTACTTTTCTTATTCAACAAGAAGTGGAAAAGAGTAAACCAAGGAAGTGAAGTCTGATAGCATGTACCACTACTCCTCATTTTGCATGGTTTCATTTAAATCAGTAAGAAATTTGAAATCTACTGACATATTACATTTTTCCAATATCTAGTCTGGATAAAATCCCCTAGAATAAAACAGAGAATTGCCGTTAGAAAATCTGGGAAATTCAGAGACACGCTGAGCGTTTTTTCTCAGCTGCAGTTGATTGCCCTTGGCAGTTTACAGGGTTGGGCTAGAGAGTTATAAATTATAAGGACATTAGATAAGTATCCTCAGGAAAGCCTCTGTGGTAGGGATTATTATTACAGTTATTATCTAGTCAGCAAAGTTAACGCTTGCTTTTTATTTTTTTTAAAGGAGGGTGTATGTTAATAAAGCGTTCAGTATTCATTGCAAAGAGTCTTGTCTGTTTTCTGGTTGAGATTCTAAAACCCCTTCTGCTCCTTTTTTTTTTTTCTTCTTTTTTACAAGACAGGCAGACTTCATTAACTTCAGATTTAATTTAAAAAACGAATGTGGAACTTATTGGCTCAGCACCTTAAAGAATTCCATGTTTAATAATTGTGAAGGCTTTCCATCAGATTTGTCTCTGTTCTGAATTAGTAATGTTGCTGACTTATTGTTTTAGAAGAGGAAGTCCTTGACCTACTGGGTTGAAAGAATTGTGACTGCTCTGAACCTTTGTGGGTCCTTTAGCTCTGCCATATCCCCTGTGAATAATTAGAGGTATTTGAAGGTATTGCTGGAGAAGCCAATTTGTGTCTTTCACTTTGCATATTGTTGAAGCCTCATGAATTAATCATCAGCAGGGCAAAAAATTAACTTCTTCAGACACATATTTTGATGGGTCATGAGGGAGAATGTAAAGTGATCTGTAAAATATTCTACTGATCCTCTAAGTATTAAATTATTATACCTACAGGCTAATTTAATGGAAAAAAACAGTTTCTTTTTCCCTTTCCTAACAGAAAAATGCACAAAAAAAGAGAAAATCATGCTTCATTATTTTTCTAGTATTTGAAGGCATTGGAAATTCAGTCACTTAATTTGTTGAATGCTTATAAAAACAATTCTGAAGGTCGTGTTAAACAAATCTTGAGGGGTCTTGTGTACATATTTACTTCTATATATTCAGGTTCTTGGTTTTTGTTGGGTTTTTTCGTTGTCATTGTGTTGGGGTTTTTTTAACAAGGTTAAACAATATCTTTAATACCACAATCTTTTTTTGCAAAACTAGGCGGTGGGGGGAGAGAGGTTGGAAGTGTGTGGTGATTTATAATTGTCTTTGACCAAAAAGTTGCCAGTTGTCTTCTGAGATTCTAAAAATAGCTGGCTGTTGGGTGGTTCATTTACTGGTGTGCTAAATATTTAATTTTTTATTCGTTCTAGCAAATGAGACTGAATTAGCATTCTTCTGTGAAGAAGATTACAGAAACTACAAAGCTAATCCTGTTTCGGCCTGGTGAAGATCCCAAGGGATTGTTTTGTTTTCCCATACCTGTTGTAAATTTTCCTTATTCTGCTTAATGAGATTTTTCTTAAAGATCAATAAATCCTAGAGGATTGCTTTGCAAACTGTGCAATTCCTTTTCTATAGAAATTAATTTCTGTCAATGTGCTATGACTGAGAAAAAGAAAACTGGGGGACATAAATGACTTTTTATTGCATTTCTTTTTCCTTTGCTTGCCTGTTAAGGTGCAGGCAGTGCCATCTCTGACCTGCGACACATTCTTGGTGTGATCCTGCAGCAGACATTAGCTACATATGGAGATTATACAGTGTACAGTAAGATCCCATCACAGTACTAACTTCTAATGAAAATGGAAACATGTTATGACCAAATCACTGGGTATTTTAGAGAGCTTGAGAAAAGAATCTCTGTGTTTCAAGTCATAGCTTTACTCCTCTCATTTTATGTTTGGTCTCTTGTTTAAATGGTGCAGACTGGCAAGTGTTTCATGCCCTTCACTGGCCAATGCTCTCCTTTATACTCTCTTCCAGCCCTCTTTAACATGCTGAAAGGGACAAAGGACTGTTGGGAGGCTTTTGTATTCAAGGACCAGCTCCTGTTTCTAACTTTACTTCATGGAGACACGTTCATGTAAGAGGTAGCAACCTGATTTCTGCGAGGACATCAGTGTGCATAAGTAGGAATGGGGCATTTTTCCAAATGGACTAAAAGCTTATGGTTTCAGTTTTAAGAATAAAACCTGCATGATTGCATTTTTGTGAGGAGAGGCCCAGTCTGCAAGCCACATGTCTTCAAGACTGGAACTGATTCTTTCCTGCTTTCCAAGAGCCAAATACTCTGTTGCTATATGTTAGTTCTTGGTAATTACAGGCTTTCCTACTACATTAACCAAATGGAGAGTAAGAAAAACTAATCATGCATCCAATAAAGTGCCTTGAGGTAGATACTGTCTATGAAACTCCTTAGGGTACACCAAGATGGGACACTGTGCCTTTAAGCCTCTCTTCACTGAAATGGAAGTGATGCTGGCTCTCTGCCTTAGCAGGCTTTTTGGGCATAGGCTCTGCTAAATCAAATGAGACCTCATGTGCAATTGCTTTAGACCCACACATCTACCCTCAGCTCTGGGTGAGAGCTGACAACACCATTTCCACAAGAGAGTTTCCAGAGAAGCAAGCTTGCTGTTGCCTAGACCTTTGATGATTTTTTTTATTGACATGTGATAGTGAAAGCAGATGTATGATTTCCAAAGTATCTGAATAAAAGATCTCTTTAGATGTAGGGCCAAAGAAACCTCTATGTATTGTTTCCACCTCATTTTCTTCATCCTTCCTGACAACTCTCTAGTTTAGCCTGGTTTTGGTAGCTGGTGTTACTCACCAACAGTTTTGCTTGTGAAAGTAGTCCACCACTTTGTCATCTGCTATTAAAAGGGTGATTGTATCTTTATCTTGTAAGGAGGAGTCCTGTGTCACTGAAGTCACCTGTGTTCTCTTGGGATTTAGATGCTGTTACACATGCTCTGATTCATTTGTGAGGAGGATTTGCCACTTGTCTCCTCTTACTGTCCAGGCTGTTTTTCTGTTGCTGGTACCCTCTCCCCAGACATGGGCCCACATCTCAGATGCCTCCTTACACGCTCTGTCATGTTTGCAGGGTAACCTGACTAATACGAGTTTGTACTCATCTTCTCAGACAGTTTAAGCTAATGCATTGCACTCCAGAGTGTACCAGCTTTGTTCAGCCAGGTTTGAAATACTGCAGGTAACTTTGTAAGAAGTGGATGGCATCTGGAGAGTTCAGTGCCTCAGACTGTCCTACCAAGGCATCTAGATAACATTTGTCAGCACACTTGGGCTCTCAGACTGAGCAAACACTGTCATTCTCTTCCTCCTGTTCTGGGGATTTGAATTTGGTCTCCAGCCCTTTAAGACAGATTTGAATTGATTTTGTGATCCCTTTTCTCTAAAGCATTTATGTTTGAAAGAGCCAGCAAATTTTAACAGCTGTCCTTTCTGGGATAGTACAGTTACAAATGTTTAGTGCCCAGTAAAAGAACAATTCTAGAGCATCAAGGAGAAAGCAGTAAATGCTTTAATGCAAATATTCAAGAACGATGTGTCTGGCACTCCAGATGAGCTTCTCTTTCCAAGGGAAGAGTTAAACTACTGCTTTGTGAGCTCAGTTGCTCTGGCAATGCCACTTCATTGGCTTCTTTCTGCGGCAGCACAGTAGAGCCTTTTGTAATGCTCTCAATGGCCATACTTGTAAACTGAATTCTTCCTGAAGTGCTTTTATACTGTGTTTTTTTATTTTTAATTTTTTTTAATTTGACCTTTAATAATGCTTCTTTCAAATAAACTCCACAAAACCAGAGATAATAACTGAGAAGTTGTTAAGATAGATGCTGTTGCAACATTTTTTTTGGTGGGATATGGTATAGCCTTGTTTTGATTCAAGGATTGTTGAGTACTGAATGAAATCTGTGAATACTGGCTAATAAATTACTAAAGTCTGAGATGTCTGGTAAGTCATAGAAATTTGCTAATGTTCTTAGATATCGTGGGGTTAATAAGGATTCATCTTGCAGTATGATGTCCTTGGAGCCTTTCACCAGTCTCTTGGGGTTTTGTTTGTTTGTTTGGGGGTTTTTTAAACAAAAAGAACAACATCCAAAAGGGACTCTGAAATGCGATACAGCTTCTCCTGGGTTATAGCACTGTAGCAGGGAAAGGCAGTCAGACTGGAAGCCAGGGGTGTGTGTGAGGCTTGGGTGTTTCTTGGAGAAAAAAAATCGCTTCAGAGAGACTGGAGTTTTGATTAAGAGGTGTAGAAGAATAGCTGCTAAAGGAGAAGGGAGGAAATTAGAAGAGGAATTATGAAGAGGAAGAAGAGGTAACAGTGTAGCTAAATAACCATGCAAAATCTTGAATGTACAAGACTTGGCACAGAAATACTGGAGTAGTGCTGCTTTTTATAGCGCTAAAGGTATGAAAATTGTGCATTTTAATAATTTTTGGAATTGAACTCATAAACTGCTGGAATAGGCATCTTGGTTTTTTTTCTGGCTTTGTCACATTATACTTTCTGCATCCAACAGTTTCTGGGTATTTTTCTGTCCAGAGGTAGTTATGAATCCAGAGTTAAGAAAACTGCTGAGGTGGATAGCTGAGTTAAATGCTGGCATAAAGGAGTCCTTAGAGATCTGATAGCACCACCATTAATGTTGGGGGACTGCTTTAACTGATGTAAACGTTCTGTCTTCAAGGTGATCCAGAGATATGTTCTAAGCTGTGATCTTTCTCTTTCACTCCCTGGGAGTATTCAGCACACCCCCTGACAGATCAGACCTTGCAAGTAACAGCCCAAGAGTTACCACAGCCATGAGTGGACCTCTGTGGTCCTTAGCAAGGAAATCCTGAGTGTCCTGAGATCACAAATGAAAACCAGAACATGTGATACTTATTCTTGGTCTTATATGACTGATAGGATCCTGTTTTGAGAGCAACAGCAGCCAGCTGGAGGCATTGCAGATGCTTAAGGCAAGTGCACGCTTCCGCTTATTGAACAGTTTGGACCGAGCTCAGTCTTGCTGGTTGGCACCTGATCCTCCTTCCATGACATCCTTTTCATAGTAATACTTGGCACAGATTTGCAAATGATGATTGAGTCAAGCAGTGATGCCCAGCAGACAACTTTGCTACTTTTCATATGACTTTTCCCTATTTTCCCTACTTTCCTATAGTTAGAGAAGCGGACACACCTTTGCATGTTTTCCCAGCTACTTCCCTTTGCTTCTTGCTGTCACCTCTGCTGATTTGCAGTGCTTTAATGTTTGTTTGCACCTCATCTGATATGCAATAGCAGCATTTCCTCTGGCAGTGAATGTACTCTTTTTTTTTTTGTATTCATGAAGAAATATGCTTTGAAATAAAGAGGAAACCTTTTCTACGCTTCACTAATAGTGCACAACGAAGAATCCTTTGTTGCTTTACAGGAGGACTTGCATAGAACAGCACTGTCCACTGGTCAGTGGAAACAAAAATGTTTTTATCATCATGCTTTGTAATCTTGGAAGGAAATGAGAGAAGTTATCTGAGGAATGAAAAAAGAAATGCAGTGAAAAGGCAAGACCTGTTGCCCTAAACTGCCTTTGTCTGCAGAGAAAGCCACCAGATGTCAGCACAGCCTGTTCTTTCGTTCTCCAGAACCTCTGCAAGCCAAGAAATATGTAATGTTTATGAAAAGTGCTTATCTGTGAATTGGTTTAGCCTGCAAAATATGCACTAGGGTTCTGGTGATGAAAACTGAATCCTTCCTTGCAGAAAGTATTTCTTTTTATATTAAAATCAAAAAGCGGCAAATTGAACTGGTATCGGTGCTTAAATTCCTCTTGTTAGAGAGCATCCTTTGCGGAGCCAGTTCCAGCGTATCTAAATCCTTGCGTGCTGTGAGGAGTCATTTGCAGAACATTCATTTGAAGAATTGTCTGGAAAAGATCAGTGTTAATTTGCTGAGGTTTTGTAAAGTAGACTTTAAGTATGCCTATTTTTTTTTAAACACAAGGAAAACCACCCATAACAGACACACATGCAAAGCAGAGCAAAACATCTCCAGCAACACAGCTTAAACACACAACAAACATATCCTCCATGCTTCTGACTCTAAGCTCCCACTATTCCTTCCTCGCAGTGCAAGGGCTGAGGAGGACCTGGCGCTGCGTTCTCTGGGCCATGCTTTCTGAGCTGTGATGAGCTGAGATGGGGTATGAGTTTGAGAGCCCAAACCCAAGCACTGTGCACAGCTTTATGCTGTCAGTGATTGAAGCGTGCACAGATGCTGCCTGGTTACAAGGGTACATTTGAACTGTTGCACAGGTACAAGGTGCGATGGAGCTTCCCTATGAGATTCCTGTCACTTTTATTGCAGCAGCTTGCAGGTGCCAGGGAGACTATTGAAGAGAGGGAAGTCAAGTGGCAGGTAGAGTCTGGGTGACTGAAATTCTTCCTTCGTTCTGTTTTGGGCTGCTGCTTCACTTCCTTTCTTCTAGCCTTGTAGCAGAGGTGTCATGCTAGGGGTTTACCACAGCTTGCTGAGAAC